CCCCCCCCGCTTTCCGCTGTGCGGTTGCCGTCATCGAGGCTTTTTCCTCCCGCGTTTCAAAAACACGTCGGTCCGTTCGTTTCTGACAATTTGGTCGACGCGCGCGCCGCCCTTGGCCGGCGACTACTCCGGGGTGGACCCAAAGTCAGCCGCTCGCACCGATGCAACGCTGTCCCGGCCGCCGACAGCAAGAGGCGGGGCCAAAGGTGTCGGACCGGCGAACGCGGAGGCTGACGGCGACGAGGCCCGCGCCGCGTCTGGAGGCGACGAGAAGGATCGCAGACGTCTGGGCTCGCTGGCGTACGTCTCGAGGCGGAAGGCGCCCACCTGCCCCGGGCCGCGGGGGCCCTGGAGAGGAGCAGGAGGAGGAGGGGGCGGCTGAGGGGGGGCGCACGACAAGCTGAATGCTGGCCCGCACCGCGGCCGGCACCGGGAGGAACCAAGCAGATGGAAAAAGAGGCAACGGAGAAAGCTTCAGATGACCACGAGACACGCACAGCTCGAGACGGGGGCAGCCACTCACATGGACGCGCCCACGCACGCACACTCTCGCGCACACACACACACACACACCTCTGGATTTGCTCCTCTTGTTGCGTGAGAAGAGTTTGTTGGCAATGGGGGACATTTGCTGGTTAGATTCTCTGGAGGCCGACCTGAACATCCCACTAAAGCTCAGCCTTGCCACACACACACACACACACACACACATAAACAGAGCGTTCCTCGTGTCAATCAAGTGTGTTTACCTTCTTGTGGGGGGCGGGGACTCTGCAATGCTTTTGCCTGAGTTGGGCATGGCCCCGGAGGCTGTGCTGCCTGCTCGCAGGACCAAGTTCCTGCCGCCGCTTGACTCCCCCTGGAGGAGCACACGCATATTACAACATCAGCACAACATCACCAAAGGTCGCGAAAGGTCAGCTGCCGGCGGGACACCCACTTGTTACCTTACTCGCTTTGTCGTTCTCCGCTCCGGCCGGCGCGTTTGTGGAAGCCATTGTCAAAATGTCCTACGGCACCATGATCATCGTCATCGTCAAAAACAGACCCCCGTTCCAAATCGCCGATGCTAAATGCGGCGGCTCGCGGCACAGGAAGAACATCCGCCGTCCAAGCTTTGCCAAAACATTATGTGCTGGGGATTCGCAGTTGCCCGACTTCCAGTCGATCCAAATCATGATATTCACATTCTCATTTGATTGCGTTTTTTAAAATGCACTTTTCAACCATCATGAACGAGCCAGTTGACCGCTGCATGCGGAAGGAGAAGATAAATGAGTACATACCTAAGTCACAATGAACCGAAATGGCGGGGGGAAAAGCTCGAGTCAGGTCGAGCGCCTTACTCAACTTCTCCAAAAGAGCCGTCGGCCGACCGGCCGATTGCAACGACGTGAAGGTCAAAAGGGTCGAGAAGCATTCTGGAGAGAGCGGAGCCGCGCGCCGCCCGACGTGATCAGGAGTGACTGAGGCCTTCCGGCCATCCGTCATCTGTTCTCATCTCACGGCGACCTGCCTCTTTGTCGCTCACTTTGTCCCGCAACAGCCATCGAGTGTGTGTGTGTGTGTGTGTGTGTGTGTGTGCGTGTGTTTGTGTGTGTGTGTGTGTGTGTGTGTGAAAGCTGCTATCGGCAGGAAGGTCACAGAGGGTGCCTGCCATTCCACAAGGTTGTTTGCGATTTTTACCGAAAAAATGACCATGTATAGTAAGGCGTTTTTAGCCGAAAAAACGACCATGTATAGTAAGGCGTTTTTAGCCGAAAAAACGACCATGTATAGTAAGGCGTTTTTAGCCGAAAAAAACGACCATGTATACTAAGGCGTTTTTAGCCGAAAAAAACGACCATGTATACGAAGGTTTTTTAGCCGAAAAAAACGACCATGTATAGTAAGGCGTTTTTAGCCGAAAAAACGACAATGTATACTAAGGCGTTTTTAGCCGAAAAAAACGACCATGTATAGAAAGGCGTTTTTAGCCGAAAAAAATGACCATGTATAGTAAGGCGTTTTTAGCCGAAAAAACGACAATGTATACTAAGGCGTTTTTAGCCGAAAAAAACGACCATGTATAG